TTCCCCTCATTTTTCCCTATTTCCCCCCATTTTAATTCCCATTTTCCCCTTTAATCCTAATTTCCCCTTTAATTCAATTTTTCCCCTTTTAATTCTCATTATCCCCCTTTTCCCCCTTTTAATCCAAATTTTCCCCCTTTTTATTCCAAATTTTCCCCAACTTACCCTCATTTTCCCCTATTTTCCCCCATTTTAATCCAAATTTTCCCCTTTTTATTCCAAATTTCCCACATTTAATTCCCAATTTTCCCCATTTTCCCCCTTTTATTCCAAATTTTCCCATTTATTCCCAATTTTTCCCCATTTTCCCCCTTTAATCCAAATTTTCCCCATTCTAATTCCCAATTATCCCCAATTTTCCCCCATTTTCCCCCATTTTCCCCCTTTTTATTCCCAAATTTCCCCATTTAATTCCCAATTTTCCCCCTTTTTATTCCCAGTTTTCCCATTTTTATTCCAATTTTTCCCCCTTTTATTCCAAATTTTCCCAATTTTTCCCATTTTTATTCCAAATTTTCCCCTTTAATCCAAATTTTCCCCCTTTAATCCCAATTTCCCCCCTTTTTATTCCCAATTTCCCCCTTTTTATTTCCAAATTTCCCCCTTTAATCCAAATTTTTCCCATTTCCCCCTTTTTATTTCCAATTTTCCCCATTTTTATTCCAAATTTTCCCCCTTTTATTCCCAATTTTCCCAATTTTCCCCATTTTTATTCCCAATTTTCCCCCTTTTATTCCCAATTACGCCAGTTTTTCCCATTTTTATTCCAAATTTTCCCATTTTTATTCCCAATTTCTCCCAATTTCCCCATTTTTATTCCCATTTTTTCCCCATTTTCCCCTTTAATTCCCATTTTTCCCCTTTAATTCCCATTTAATCCCCATTTTCCCCCATTTTTATCCCAATTTCCCCATTTTTATTCCCATTTTTATTCCCATTTTTATTCCCATTTTCCCCATCCCCTCATGCCCCGCCCCGCCCCTCCCCTCTGACCCCGCCCCTCCAGGGGGGCGTGGCCTGACCTGAAGGGGGCGTTGCCTGTCCTGAAGGGGCGTGGCCTGTCCTGAAGGGGCGTGGCCCGCCATGAAAGAGGCGTGGCCTGTCCTACAGGGGGCGTGGCCTGTCCTACAGGGGGCGTGGTCCGCCATGAAAGGGGAGTGGCCTTACCTGAAAGGGGCGTGGCCAGGCCTGAAAGGGGCGTGGTCGTGCCTGAAGGGGGCGTGGTCCGCCATAAAAGGGGCGTGTCCCTGCCTGAAGGGGGCGTGGCCATGCCTGAAAGGGGCGTGGCCATGCCTGCAGGGGGCGTGTCCCTCGCGGCCCCGCCCCGCCTGGCCCCGCCCCCCGCGCCCCCTGCCCCCCCTGCTGGCGGCGCTGGCGGCGCTCGGAGCGCCCGCGGCCATGGGCGCGCCCCCGGGCCGCGGTGAGTGATTATCGATTATCGGTTATTGATTATCGATTGGCGGGTGTCGGGTATGGGGCGTCGGCTATCGGCTATCGGGTATGGGATATCGATTATTGGGTATGGGGTATCGGGTGTCGGGTATCGGGTATCAATTATCGGGTATCAGGTGTTGGGTATTGGGTATTGATTATCAGATTTTAGTTATCGGGTATCGGGTATCGGTTATTGGTTATCGAGTATCGGGTATCGGTTTTCGGGTATCAGTTATTGGTAATCGAGTATCGGGTATCGGTTATCGGGTATCGGTTTTCGGGTATTGGGTATCAATTATCAGGTGTCGGGTATCAGGTGTCGGGTATTGATTATCGGGTATTGATTATCAGGTATTGGTTATCGGGTATCAGTTATTGGTTATCGAGTATCGGTTATTGGTTATCGGGTATCGGTTATTGGTTATCGGGTATCGGGTATTGGTTATCGGGTATTGGTTATTGGTTATGGAGTATCAGGTATTGGTTATCGGGTATCGGTTATTGGTTATCGATTATCAGGTATTGGTTATCGGGTATCGGTTATTGGTTATCGAGTATCGGGTATTGGTTATCGGGTATCGGTTATTGGTTATCCGGTATCGGGTATTGGTTATCAGGTATCGGTTATTGGTTATCGAGTATCGGGTATTGGTTATCGAGTATCGGTTATTGGTTATCGGGTATCGGTTATTGGTTATTGGGTATCGGTTATTGGTTATCGAGTATCGGTTATTGGTTATCGATTATCAGGTATTGGTTATCGGGTATCGGTTATTGGTTATCGAGTATCGGGTATTGGTTATCAGGTATCGGGTATTGGTTATCGAGTATCGGTTATTGGTTATCGGGTATCGGTTATTGGTTATCGGGTATCGGTTATTGGTTATCAGGTATCGGGTATTGGTTATCGGGTATCGGTTATTGGTTATCAGGTATCGGTTATTGGTTATCAGGTATCGGTTATTGGTTATCGAGTATCCGGTATTGGTTATCGGGTATCGGTTCTTGGTTATCGAGTATCCGGTATTGGTTATCCGGTATAGGTTATTGGTTATCGAGTATCGGGTATTGATTATCAGGTATCGGTTATTGGTTATCGAGTATCGGATATTGGTTATCGGGTATCGGTTATTGGTTATCGAGTATCAGGTATTGGTTATCGGTTATCGGTTATTGGTTATCGGGTATTGGGTATCGGTTATTGGTTATTGGGTATCGGGTATCACGTATTGCTTATCAAGTATCGGTTATCAGTTATTGATTATAGTGTATTGATTATCGGTTATCGGTTATTGATTATCGGGTATCGGGTATTGATTATCGGGTATCGGGTATTGGTTATTGGGTATTGGTTGTTGATTATCAGTTATTGGGTATCAATTATCGATTAATAAGTATCAGTTATTAGGTATCGATTATCGGGTATCGGTTATCGAGTATCGGGTATCAGTTATCGGGTATCGGGTATCAGTTATCTGGTATTGATTATCGATTATTGATTATTGGGTATCGGTTATCATGTATCGGTTATCAGGTATTGGGTATCGGTTATAGGATATCGGGTATGGGGTATTGGGTATTGGTTTTCGGGTATCGATTATGGGGTATCGATTGTTGGTTATTGATTAGCAGGTATCGGTTATCGTTTATTTAGTATAAATTATCAGTTATCGATTATCAGGTATTGGGTATCGGGTATCGGTTATCGGGTATCAGGTATCGGTTATCAATTATTGGTTATCAGTTATTGGTTATTGGGTATCAGTTATCGGGTATTGGGTATCGGGTATCGATTATTGGGTATTGGTTACCAGGTATTGGTTATTGATTATCAGTTATCGGGTATTGGGTATCGGGTATCAGGTATCGGTTATTGGATATCGGTTATTGGGTATTGGTTAGTGGGTATCAGTTATCGGTTATTGGGTATCGGGTATCAATTATCAGGCATTGGTTATCAGTTATCAATTATTGATTATCTATTTCAATTACTGATTATCAATTATAGATTTTTTTCCCGTTATTCCCCATTTTCCCCCATTTATTCCCATTTTTTCCCATTTATTCCCATTTTTTCCCATTTATTTCAATTTTTTCCCATTTATTCCCATTTTCCCCTATTCATTCCCATTTAATCTCATTTTTTCCCCTTTTTTTCCCATTTATTCCCATTTTCCCCCCATT